ACCTCCCACCTCCCACCTCAGGTGGCTACCGGGGTTAGACGCTGTAATACGCAGAGCACTTAGAACAGCACCGCCCGGAGCACACAGCCTGCAAGCTGCTTTATTGTCCTTTAAATCACTCGTGAGGACAGAGGTTGGCAGGAGGTGGGCACACAGAAATCATTCCTCCACAGTGGCTTCCCCATCCTCTCCAAGGTGGAGCCGCAAGGAAGAATCCTAACTTGTGCCCTCCTGGCCTTGTGCCCTCAGAGGGAAAAGGGCACATGGGACCGAGGGTCCCAGGCATGTGGGGATGGAAATGGTGGCTTGGGTGTCACCAGACTCCTCCCGTCCTGACCCTTACTTCTGCCCAGGACTGAGGCCAGTTTAAGTAGCTTCCGGTGGGGCAGTGAGGACGGGCCAGGCCAGCTGCTAGAGGGCCGAAGGGGGAGGGCCCCGGGACACTCAGCTCCAGTGTCCCCTTGCGATGTCAAATGGGGGCCCAGGGACCCAGGAGCCTCCCGCGGAGAGGGGTGGCGAGAGGGTACTCTGACGGGACTGTCTCTGCCCTAGCCCTGGTTCGCCTTCCAGCTTCTTTTTGGTCAAGACTAGGATCTGTCCAAGCTGCTGCTGTCAGCGCTGAGGGCGGGGTGTAAGGCCCACCCCGAGTCACCAGGGACAGAGGCACCCACAGGCGCCCACAGCTCCCATCACGTACGTGTGGACGGCTCGAGCTTAACAGCCAGAGTTTGGTCCGCTGCCAGGGGGGTTCACTCCCAGCATGCTCCTGCCCTTCCGGCCAGTGCCACCTGCGATCGTCTCCAACCGCAGCTGGAGCATCCCCGCTGGGAGACCTCCCGTTTGCCAGGCAGCCTCCCTGTTCCTGGCAAAGAAGAGCTCTCTGTGCCTCCCGGGCCCTTGATCATGAACCTCAGGTCTACATGCTGCACCCCACCCCACCCCACCCCTCTTGACTGCGAGCTCTGAAAGCCACATTGTTTGCCTTCGTCCCTCGGCCCCTGTGAACTGCCTGGCACTTGGCAGGGCAATGTCCTCGTGGAGCCAGCAAATGTCCATGGGCTCCAGGAATGCTGACTGTTGTGTTATCAGCCAGAGATGACCTGGCAAACATCCGCCCCCAAATAACACACTGACCGACACTCTCCCCCTGCCCTCGCTTTCCCAGCCACTTCCAATTCGCACCTTCAATTCCCAGCGAAGAACCCAGGTGTGTGTAAGGAAAAGCAGCGGAAGTATCACGGCATGCACCCCAACCACTCCTGGGTGCCTGGTCTAAACGTGTGCCAGGCCCCACAGCATCCTCGTCCCTGCTCCTCACGGGGGCAGGTGACAGGGTTACAGGTGCCTGTATCTTTAAGGACGGCTGCTATGAGGAGACTCTGCGCAGACAAGCTAGGTCTGGGAGGGAGGGATTCCTTGCACAGAGTGCCTATAGAGCAGCGGTTCTCAACCTTCCTCATGCCGCGGCCCTTTAATACAGTGACCCCCAACCATAACATTATTTTCGTTGCTACTTCATAACTGTAATTTTGCTACTACTGTTGTGAATCGTCATGTAAATATCTGATATGCAGGATGTATTTTCATTGTTACAAATTGAACATAATTAAAGCATAGTGATTAATCACAAAAACAATATGCAATTATAGATGTGTTTTCCGATGGGCTTAGGCGACCCCTGTGAAAGGGTCATTCAACCCCCAAAGGGGTCGCGACCCACAGGTTGAGAACTGCTGCTATAGAGACTTCCTGCCTGCCCTAAGCATTCAATCTAGTTGGGGGTCGGGGGAATGGAGGGAGAATACCACCAACTGTAATTTCAGCTGCAGCCAGGTGTGGGAGCCCCCACAAAGTCAAGCTCAGGACTCTCTACAGACTAAAAAAAAAAAAAAAAAAAAAAAAAAGGAAAAATATGCCAGTCCATTTTCCCTCTTTCCATCCCCTTGACGAAGGAAGGTCTCAGCTTCACCCTGAACTGAAATATTTGGTTAACCATGCCACGCCCTATGGGCACACCTGCTGTTATGGCCCAGCCAGTGCGTGCAACACACACACACACACGCATACACACACGCATACACACACACACACACACACACACACACACACACACACACACCAGTCTGACTCTCTGACCCCACCTGAGCCATCCGCTCTCTCAGGCCTGTGCTTGCTCCTCTCCTAAACACACAGGCCTCAGACTGAGTGGCCCAGAGCAGGACCTTGGAGCCAGCGGCCTGGATTCAGATCCCGGCTCTGCCACTTACCAGCTGGTGACCCTGGACTAACGACAGCTCCTCCGAGCCTCCTTGCCTTACTTTTCCATGAGGGCTGCCCATTCGCTGTATCGCTGTGGGGAATACACATGCACAGTAGGGAAGTGCTGAGAGCAGTGACAGCCACTGTTATTGTCATTGGAACTGTCACTGTGATTGTCAGTCGACTTCCAGGCTTTTGTGGTTCTCTACACACTCGCAGATCCACTCCCGACCTCACACAGGCGCGCTGCTGTGCCCCCACGCACATGTGCACACAGATGGACACGCTGTCGCACCCCGGAGCTGAGCCGACACAGAAATGCACACGCACATGTGCAGAATGCTGACCAACCTCTCTTCTGTCGGGAAACCAAGGCCTGCAGTCACCCAACACCCCTCTAGACACACAAGTCATCGCTCACGGGGACGAGCAGAAACGGAGCCCAAGACTGGCTGGCTGACTGCACAGCAGGCCTGGACCTGCTCCCCCAAACCTCCCTCCTCACCCCGTTGGCCAGAGTTCCCCAGTGGGAGGATGACTCCCAGGACACGCATGGGAGTCTGAAGTGAGAAGAGCCTCCCAGACAGCTGACTCTGAGGCCACCTGGCACACAGTCGCCAGGAAGGGACTGGCTGAGCCCAGGCCCAGAATCCAGGCCTCCTGACTAATTCTGGGCTTTCTCTCTGCCCCAGACTGGCTCCTTCCTAGACTTCGTGCTTCCCGTGGGCACAACCTATTGTGCATATGACCTCTGATGCCTTGGGTACCCGGCCTAGAGTAGATGCCCAGTAGGTGTGGAATGAACAAATGAATGAGCGAATAAGTGAATAAGTGAGAGGGCAGTGACGGAGTCCCAAACAGATCTTGCTCCTACTGCTTCCCCAGTGCTGGTCCCGGAGGGCAATGCTCAGGGCAGCAGCACAGTCGTGCTAGCCCACACTGCCCCGGTCGAGCCTCCAACACGGGCTAAGACCTCTCTGGGTGAGGGCTCACGGAACCCTCTTTTTGAGCCCCTAATTCTCCAGAGTCCCGGGCAAGGCCAGGATGCACACTCCTCTGAACCTTGCCTCAGAGTCCCCTCTGCTAGACACAGGGATGGGGCTGAACACAGCCCTGCCTGCCCTTCTTCAGGGCGCCGCATGCTCCGGGGCCGGGCCTCCGGATCTGAGCACAAAGCAGAACTGGCCCCAGCCCTGCACCGTCGCATCTCCGCGTGCATGTCTCCAATGTGGCACAATAAAGTGATACAGTGACCAAGTGAACCGCGGCACAGCCCCTGAGCCCCGGCACCCCCTCCGGGGCTCTCCCAGCCTCTGAGAGAACACGGGCCCCGCTCCGCACCCGGGTAAGAGTTGGTGCCACTTTCTGGATCAGAGAGAGGTCAGCTCTTCCCCACGCAGAGAAGCCAGGCCCGGCCAGTGGCCTTCCGCTGCGCACCCTCAGCCGGCCATTCGCGATTTGGCCACCCCACCTCTGTCCTTCCAGCCTTGTCCCTCAGTCCTCCCATACGAGAAGGTGCCACTGCAGCCTAACCGGGTCCTCCCAGGGCCCCCAACATGCCCGCCCCTGTGCCCAGTCCAGGGTCCCTCCTGCCCTGGCTCGGTTCCCCCCTAACACTGTCTGTTCCTCCTGGCTCTCAGGGCTCACCTCCCGCATGGAGCCCGCCCCAAGCACAGAAACCTCCCTGCCTTCCCTGCTGCCCTCACTCCGTCAGCCACCCCTTCCCTGGTCTCCAGGACTCCTCTCCCGGGTGCTGCTCCCAGCTTTGGCCCCTCTTAGTCCTTCTCCAAACCCCTTTCTCTCTCAGCACCCCCCCCCCCACCTAGCCCCCCGCCGGGGCTGAGTGTTTCCTGGCTCTGCCCTCAGCCTTGGTTCTCCCCACCCCACATGGGGTCTTGGGTGACATCACCCACTTCTGTGGCTTCCATGACTCCCAAATCCTGTCTCCAGCTGAAATCTCTCCTGAGTTCTGAGGCCTCCATGTGGACAGCCCACAGAACCACGAGGTCCCTGTGTCCAAATCTCAGTCCATGTTCCCTTCAAACCATCCCGTGACGGCACCGCCATCCAGCCAGAATGACGGGCATCAGCCGAGGCCCCCTCCCGCCTGTCACAGCCCAACACCTCTTGGCTACGTCCCCCTGACCCACACCCAGAGCTCCCACCCGGGTCCGAGCCACCAGGGCGCTCTCCTGCTGGTGCCTGCACGTGGCCTTTCTGCTTTGAGTTCTGTGCCCTCCGACCCACCTTCCACACAGCAGCCAGAGGGGTCATTCAGAAGGACCAATGTAATCCCGTCACACCCCTGTTTAAAAGACACCGGTGGCTTACCCAGCTTTCGGATCGAGCTCCAACCCCTTAGCTTAGCCCCAAGGCCCTCCAGGACAGGGCCCAGGGCCCGCCTCACAGCCTCCCTGTTACAACATGCAACCAGCGCAGAGCTTTCTGATGGCCACTTCTGGGCCTTGGCACATGCTGGCCACTTGGCCTGGGAGGCCTTTCTCCTGCTCTGTCACCTGGTGACCCTGCCCATAACGCAAGGCTCAACTCAGAACTTGGAGGGCACTTCCTCTGGGGAGCCTCGTCGGCCCCCCACGCAGAATTTCACACCCTGGAACCTGTCTGCCTGCATCAACGCATGCAGCTGCCGATGGCTGGCCGGGAGAGCCCTTGAACTCAGGCTCTCCTGCCAAGACTGTGGGTGTCCAGGGGAGGGGTGTGGGGTGCAAACCCAACCTTACCTGCCTCTGAGGACCAGTGGGATCCGACTCTCTCCGTCGAGGGCGGGGTCCGGAGTGCAAGGGTGAGTGGGAAGGGCTGCCGGGCGTGGGGGGCTGCGATGTCTCTGATCGCCCATCGGCCTGGCTCAGCTGGGGTGGCGGGAACTGGCATGGTGTCTGTCGCAGGTCCTCCTCGGCCAGCGTCTGCATGCAGCGTCCCCGGGGCCGGGCAGTGGGCTCTGGCCCTGGCCGCCGCCGCTCCTCACCCTCCTCGGGCAGCGGCCGCAGCTCCTCCGGCTCCTCGTCCGTGGTGCCCGAGGTGCTGGGCTCGGCCCCCGGGGGGAAGTCCTTGAGCTCTGTCTCCTTGTCAATGATGACCCACTCCTTGCTGTCGAAGTCCTCCTCCTCGGCCAGCGGCACCGAGCGGAAGGCGTTGCTCAGGGCCTCCTGTTCCACGGAGGCCGACACGTCCATGCGGCCGCTGGCCTGCCGGTCGGCCTGGCCCGTGTCCACTGACAGCATCTGGGCCGGCTGTGAGGAGCAGGCCTGGCGCGAGGGTGAGCCGGGCAGATCCATTCGTGACCTGCAAAGCCAGCCAGGTGGGGCTCAGTGCCGGCCTCTCTGGAGCCCCAGGACTCCACACAGGTGGCAGGGTGGCCCGCGACATCTGGACCCTCCTGACCACGGCACCTCTCGCACCCTGGCAGCGGCCCCGTCACCTCCTGGGTTGTCACCCTCTGCCCTCACTCCCAGTAAAGCTCTCATTCATTCACTCATGCATTCGTTCGACATGCTTACTGTATGCCAGGATGTAGCACACAGGAAATAAAGCCTGCTTCCTGTGCTCAAGAGTGCTCTCCCAGACACCCCAGGGAACCTTCATCTTCCTAAAGCCAGCTTTCCGGCAGCCTGTCCAGTGCTCACACCCACCAGGCGCTCCCTCCTGCTGCATCCCGGGCCAACGCCTGGCCCTTGGGTTTGCAGATGGTTTTTCTAGCCTCTTCTGCTCCCACCCTGCAGCCCTGCCTGGTGGGTTTCACCACCTCTGACAACTCCAGGGGCTCCCAGCCCCGAGGAGAAGTCCACATTCCTTAGTGTGGCTCCAAGGCCCTTGACCGCCAGACTCAGGCCCCGTTATCCATTCCTCTGCCAGACCCACCTCAGGTTCACACGCTTTCCCCAAATGGCCCACACGCTCATGCCTCTGTGCCTTTGTGCATGCTGTTCCCTCCACAAGGCCTGTCCTTCCACCCTGTGCTGTCCATCCCAGCTCAGGTGTCACCTGTGTGGAGCCTCTCCATCCTCCGTGGCAAAGAGTTGCCCTCCCGGTGCTCCCTGTGCCCCCTCTCAGCACAGAGCCCGTGAGTTTACGTACCTTCCTCCCAGGAGCTGTGAGCTCTGCCAGGCAGGGACGGCCCGTCTGACTGCTTACTCTGGGGCATGGACCTGCCTCAGGACAGCTCTCACTGTTACCTTAGACTGTGCCGTGACCCTCAAATTACTTCCCAAGGTTGTCACCCAGGGGTGCACAGCCCCAGAGTGGGGGACTCCTGGCTGACAGGGAGTGGAGGACAGGACAAAAGGAAGAACAGTCCCTCCCAAAATGCCTGCGAGTGCCCCTGAGAACAGGGGAGGCTTGGCCTGGGTGTGCTCACCCCGCCCTCAGCCTGCGGGCAGGGGGCTGGCTCATCCTCCCCCACATCTGGCCGGGAGGGGAGGGGAGGGGTGCAGGTCGCAGCCCCCTGTGGGCTTTCCCAACATACTGCCGCTGGCCTACGTAGGACCTGCCCCCTCTGACTGTACACACTATTTTTATGGATTTGCTAATAAATCCATTTTGTTAGAATAAAAACACCCTGAGGGAGCCGCCCAGGGCCTGACACTGAGAGTCCCATGTAGATGGCTGCTGTCCCTTCCTTCCCTGACACTGTTTCCAGGGACATAGAGGAGAGGCGGCGCCCAAGGAAGAGGGGGCTGAAGAGCAGGGGTGAGGAGGGGCGGGAACTGAGGGGGGACAGGGGAACCCCAATCCCATCTGCTTCAGACTTTCCCCTGCTCCCCAATACCCCAAAGCCCACCCAAACCTTCTGCCCTGCCTATGAGATCCTGAAAACTCCCTTCCGGAAAAACCTGTCCTCACCCCTCTCCTTGCCCACCATCCTGAAACAGGCTCACTCTAAGCCAAGCCCGTTGGCTCTGCAGGACTGCCCACCTCTCTTCTCCACTCATGTCCCTTCCAAACCGCCCTCCCTCCTTCCTCCCTGTTCCGGAACTCTCCAGGCTACCCCAGGTGAAAATGAGGCAGCGAGTGAGCGTGAGCGTGAGCGTGCGCGTGAGAGTGTGAGTGTGAGTGTGTGAGTGTGAGCGTGAGAGTGTGAGTGTGAGTGTGTGAGCGTGAGCGTGAGAGTGTGAGTGTGAGTGTGAGTGTGTGAGCGTGCGCGTGAGAGTGTGAGTGTGAGTGTGTGAGCGTGAGAGTGTGAGTGTGAGTGTGTGAGCGTGCGCGTGAGAGTGTGAGTGTGAGTGTGTGAGCGTGCGCGTGAGAGTGTGAGTGTGAGTGTGTGAGTGTGAGCGTGAGAGTGTGAGTGTGAGTGTGTGAGTGTGAGCGTGAGAGTGTGAGTGTGAGTGTGAGTGTGTGAGCGTGCGCGTGAGAGTGTGAGTGTGAGTGTGTGAGCGTGAGCGTGAGAGTGTGAGTGTGAGTGTGTGAGCGTGCGCGTGAGAGTGTGAGTGTGAGTGTGTGAGTGTGAGCGTGAGAGTGTGAGTGTGAGTGTGTGAGCGTGCGCGTGAGAGTGTGAGTGTGAGTGTGTGAGCGTGCGCGTGAGAGTGTGAGTGTGAGTGTGTGAGTGTGAGCGTGAGAGTGTGAGTGTGAGTGTGTGAGCGTGCGCGTGAGAGTGTGAGTGTGAGTGTGTGAGCGTGCGCGTGAGAGTGTGAGTGTGAGTGTGTGAGCGTGCGCGTGAGCGTGAGAGTGTGAGTGTGTGAGCGTGAGCGTGAGAGTGTGAGTGTGAGTGTGTGAGCATGCGCGTGAGAGTGTGAGTGTGAGTGTGTGAGTGTGAGCGTGAGAGTGTGAGTGTGAGTGTGAGTGTGTGAGCGTGCGCGTGAGAGTGTGAGTGTGAGTGTGTGAGCGTGCGCGTGAGAGTGTGAGTGTGAGTGTGAGTGTGTGAGCGTGAGAGTGTGAGTGTGAGTGTGTGAGCGTGCGCGTGAGAGTGTGAGTGTGAGTGTGTGAGCGTGCGCGTGAGAGTGTGAGTGTGAGTGTGTGAGCGTGAGCGTGAGCGTGAGAGTGTGAGTGTGTGAGTGTGAGCGTGAGAGTGTGAGTGTGAGCGTGAGCGTGTGAGCGTGAGCGTGAGAGTGTGAGTGTGAGTGTGTGAGCGTGAGCGTGAGCGTGAGAGTGTGAGTGTGTGTGTGAGCGTGAGCGTGAGCGTGAGCGTGAGAGTGTGAGTGTGAGTGTGTGAGCGTGAGCGTGAGCGTGAGAGTGTGAGTGTGAGTGTGAGTGTGTGAGCGTGAGCGTGAGCGTGTGAGAGTGAGTGTGAGTGTGAGTGTGTGAGTGTGTGAGCGTGCGCGTGAGAGTGTGAGTGTGAGTGTGTGAGCGTGAGCGTGAGAGTGTGAGTGTGAGTGTGTGAGCGTGCGCGTGAGTGTGAGTGTGAGTGTGAGTGTGTGAGCGTGCGCGTGAGAGTGTGAGTGTGAGTGTGTGAGCGTGCGCGTGAGAGTGTGAGTGTGAGTGTGTGAGCGTGCGCGTGAGAGTGTGAGTGTGAGTGTGTGAGCGTGCGCGTGAGAGTGTGAGTGTGAGTGTGTGAGCGTGCGCGTGAGAGTGTGAGTGTGTGAGCGTGCGCGTGAGAGTGTGAGTGTGAGTGTGTGAGTGTGAGCGTGAGAGTGTGAGTGTGAGTGTGTGAGCGTGCGCGTGAGAGTGTGAGTGTGAGTGTGAGTGTGTGAGCGTGAGCGTGAGAGTGTGAGTGTGAGTGTGTGAGCGTGCGTGTGAGAGTGTGAGTGTGAGTGTGTGAGCGTGCGCGTGAGAGTGTGAGTGTGAGTGTGTGAGCGTGCGCGTGAGAGTGTGAGTGTGAGTGTGTGAGTGTGTGAGCGTGAGAGTGTGAGTGTGAGTGTGTGAGTGTGTGAGCGTGAGAGTGTGAGTGTGAGTGTGAGTGTGTGAGCGTGCGCGTGAGAGTGTGTGAGTGTGTGAGCGTGCGCGTGAGAGTGTGAGTGTGAGTGTGTGAGTGTGTGAGCGTGAGAGTGTGAGTGTGAGTGTGTGAGTGTGTGAGCGTGAGAGTGTGAGTGTGAGTGTGAGTGTGTGAGCGTGAGCGTGAGCGTGAGAGTGTGAGTGTGAGTGTGTGAGCGTGCGCGTGAGCGTGAGAGTGTGAGTGTGAGTGTGTGAGCGTGAGCGTGAGAGTGTGAGTGTGAGTGTGTGAGCGTGAGCGTGAGCGTGAGAGTGTGAGTGTGAGTGTGAGTGTGTGAGCGTGAGCGTGAGCGTGTGAGAGTGAGTGTGAGTGTGAGTGTGTGAGTGTGTGAGCGTGCGCGTGAGAGTGTGAGCGTGAGTGTGTGAGCGTGAGCGTGAGAGTGTGAGTGTGAGTGTGAGTGTGTGAGCGTGCGCGTGAGAGTGTGAGTGTGAGTGTGTGAGCGTGCGCGTGAGAGTGTGAGTGTGAGTGTGTGAGCGTGCGCGTGAGAGTGTGAGTGTGAGTGTGTGAGCGTGCGCGTGAGAGTGTGAGTGTGAGTGTGTGAGCGTGCGCGTGAGAGTGTGAGTGTGAGTGTGTGAGCGTGCGCGTGAGAGTGTGAGTGTGAGTGTGAGTGTGTGAGCGTGCGCGTGAGAGTGTGAGTGTGAGTGTGTGAGCGTGCGCGTGAGAGTGTGAGTGTGAGTGTGTGAGCGTGCGCGTGAGAGTGTGAGTGTGAGTGTGTGAGCGTGCGCGTGAGAGTGTGAGTGTGAGTGTGTGAGCGTGCGCGTGAGAGTGTGAGTGTGAGTGTGTGAGCGTGCGCGTGAGAGTGTGAGTGTGAGTGTGTGAGCGTGCGCGTGAGAGTGTGAGTGTGAGTGTGAGTGTGAGCGTGCGCGTGAGAGTGTGAGTGTGAGTGTGTGAGCGTGCGCGTGAGAGTGTGAGTTGAGTGTGAGTGTGTGAGCGTGCGCGTGAGAGTGTGAGTGTGAGTGTGTGAGCGTGCGCGTGAGAGTGTGAGTGTGAGTGTGTGAGCGTGCGCGTGAGAGTGTGAGTGTGAGTGTGTGAGCGTGCGCGTGAGAGTGTGAGTGTGAGTGTGTGAGCGTGCGCGTGAGAGTGTGAGTGTGAGTGTGTGAGCGTGCGCGTGAGAGTGTGAGTGTGAGTGTGTGAGCGTGCGCGTGAGAGTGTGAGTGTGAGTGTGTGAGCGTGCGCGTGAGAGTGTGAGTGTGAGTGTGAGTGTGTGAGCGTGCGCGTGAGAGTGTGAGTGTGAGTGTGAGCGTGAGCGTGAGAGTGTGAGTGTGAGTGTGAGCGTGCGCGTGAGAGTGTGAGTGTGAGTGTGTGAGCGTGCGCGTGAGAGTGGTGAGTGTGAGTGTGTGAGCGTGCGCGTGAGAGTGTGAGTGTGAGTGTGTGAGCGTGCGCGTGAGAGTGTGAGTGTGAGTGTGTGAGCGTGCGCGTGAGAGTGTGAGTGTGAGTGTGTGAGCGTGCGCGTGAGAGTGTGAGTGTGAGTGTGTGAGTGTGTGAGCGTGAGAGTGTGAGTGTGAGTGTGTGAGTGTGTGAGCGTGAGAGTGTGAGTGAGTGTGAGTGTGTGAGCGTGCGCGTGAGAGTGTGAGTGTGAGTGTGTGAGCGTGCGCGTGAGAGTGTGAGTGTGAGTGTGTGAGCGTGCGCGTGAGCGTGAGAGTGTGAGTGTGTGAGCGTGAGCGTGAGAGTGTGAGTGTGAGTGTGTGAGCGTGAGCGTGAGCGTGAGAGTGTGAGTGTGTGTGTGAGCGTGAGCGTGAGCGTGAGCGTGAGAGTGTGAGTGTGAGTGTGTGAGCGTGAGCGTGAGCGTGTGAGAGTGAGTGTGAGTGTGAGTGTGTGAGTGTGTGAGCGTGAGAGTGTGAGTGAGTGTGAGTGTGTGAGCGTGCGCGTGAGCGTGAGAGTGTGAGTGTGTGAGCGTGAGCGTGAGAGTGTGAGTGTGAGTGTGTGAGCGTGAGCGTGAGCGTGAGAGTGTGAGTGTGTGTGTGAGCGTGAGCGTGAGCGTGAGCGTGAGAGTGTGAGTGTGAGTGTGTGAGCGTGAGCGTGAGCGTGTGAGAGTGAGTGTGAGTGTGAGTGTGTGAGTGTGTGAGCGTGAGAGTGTGAGTGTGAGTGTGTGAGCGTGAGCGTGAGCGTGTGAGAGTGAGTGTGAGTGTGAGTGTGAGTGTGTGAGCGTGAGCGTGAGAGTGTGAGTGTGAGTGTGTGAGCGTGAGCGTGAGAGTGTGAGTGTGAGTGTGTGAGCGTGAGCGTGAGCGTGTGAGAGTGAGTGTGAGTGTGAGTGTGTGAGTGTGTGAGCGTGAGAGTGTGAGTGTGAGTGTGTGAGCGTGAGCGTGAGCGTGTGAGAGTGAGTGTGAGTGTGAGTGTGAGTGTGTGAGCGTGAGCGTGAGCGTGTGAGAGTGTGAGTGTGAGTGTGTGAGTGTGTGAGCGTGCGCGTGAGAGTGTGAGCGTGAGTGTGTGAGCGTGAGCGTGAGAGTGTGAGTGTGAGTGTGAGTGTGTGAGCGTGAGCGTGAGAGTGTGAGTGTGAGTGTGAGTGTGAGTGTGTGAGCGTGAGCGTGTGAGTGTGAGTGTGTGAGTGTGAGCGTGAGAGTGTGAGTGTGAGTGTGAGTGTGTGAGCGTGAGCGTGAGCGTGTGAGTGTGAGTGTGTGAGCGTGAGCGTGAGAGTGTGAGTGTGAGTGTGAGTGTGTGAGCGTGAGCGTGAGCGTGAGACTGCCGGCTCCCTGAAGACGGTCCGCATCAGCCCTCTGTCCTGGCGTCAGCACAGGAACTGGAATGGAGCTCGCTGTCGGGGTCTCCACATGGCAGAGGAGCGCGGTGCCCAGCCCAGAGGTGGGGTGTGGTTTGGGGCAGAATCCGGAGGAGCTGGGCCTGGGGGAGACACCCCTTCCTGGAGCAGAGAAGGTCTCCGCCCTGCTGGGGGGTGAGGTCCTACCCGGGGCCACAGGAGGGCGGGACAGCGCTCCTCCACGCGCCAGACCCGCGGGCCCTGCTGGCCATCACCACCTCGGCTCCTCGGAGCTCCAACCGCCAGCACTGGGCCTGGCACGGAGGGAGTCCTGAAGACCAGGTACAAGCCTCTCTGCACTCTGAGTCCCTGCCTCTGCCTGAACCTGACCTTTCCTCCAGCCCAGCCCTGGGCCGAGGGAGCCAGTGCCCTGGACCCGCCCCTGGTCCCCGACCCACCTCCTCTCGTGTAGCTCCGCCCGCCCATCCGCAGTGGAGAGCCTCTCCGACTCAGGGCTGTTGACCCTCCGGTAGCGCAGAGAACGCACTGGGGTTGTCGGTGAGTCTGGAGGGGCTCGCACCGGAGAGCTGGGGACCCCCACCCCTCGGTTCTGCTCCTCTTCCGCCACGCAGGGGGTCTGCAGGAGAGGGGAGTCCGTGAGCCGTGGCTGACAAGGCGGCTGCGGGTCAGGTGGTTTCTCGGGGTGAAGGAGACAGGGAGGGGGAGCCCCAGGATGCAGTGATCCTGAGATGGGGGGCGGGGCAGGCCTGTGGTGGGGAGAGGGCGCTCAGAGGACGGGGAGGGGCCCACGGGCTGGGAAGGCCGCCATGCCCTGCCCCCTGGCTGCAGTTACTTTGCCGATGTTGATCCGGAGTTTGTTCCTGTTGACATCTGTCTCCTCCCAGACTTCAGCTTCAGGGCCCCCGGGGTGCGGGGCGAGGAGGGGGCCGGGGCCCAGCCCCTCGGGGAGCCGCCCAGGCAGGATTGGGGGTGCGTTCTCCTGGTCACTCAGGTGCTCGCCCTGCAGCACGTCCTCCGTGTTCTCGCGGAGCAGGTCTCCAGGCACCGGTGTCACGTTGACCACCCTGGAGAGGCCAGGAGGGGTGATGGGCAAGGCTGGCATGGGTGCCCTCTCCTGCCAGCACCGGCCCTGGAGATCACTGCCAGATGGGCATGGACATGGGCACAGGGGAGGCCCCCGCAGGGGTGAGGGTAGCCCTTGGCCCGTCACCACCCCGGCTCACAAAACCTCTGAGGCCAGAGGGTTGTAAGATGGGGCTGTCTGGACGGACGGGCACAACACCACCTCGCTCTGTTTAAGAGATCCCGTCCGGCCGGCCTGGCTCGGTGGTTAAGCGTCAGCCTATGAACCAGGAGGTCAGGGTTCGATTCCTGCTCAGGGCACAAGCCCAGGTTTCGGGCTCGATCCCCAATGTGGGGCATGCAGGAGGCAGCCAACCAATGATTCTCTTTCATCATTGATGTTTCTGTCTCGCTCTCCCTCTCTCCCTTCATCTCTGAAATCAGTAAAAATATATAAAAAGAGAGAGAAAGAGAGAGAGAACCCAGCTGCTTCCCAGGCAGGCCCAGCCGGATTCCCACTGCGTTCGCTGCTTGGCTTGCTTTAGTCCAGGAGTGGGTCTAAGAGAAGGATCACTGTGAAGTCATTTGAGCGACATCTTTATAGATCTGAGCACCATAACGTGCTGACAAGTCCTGCGGAGTCCCCTTCCCACAGGTATGCCCGGAGCCCCTGCCTGCCTCTCCCTGGCTCGCTCCTGGGGCTGGTGGGGAGCCCCTTCTCACGTGGCCACCTTCTCCTCATGCTTGTCACAGGTACTGAAATGGCTCCCACCATTACAAATACCCTCGACTCCACTGGGAGCCTCAGGGTTTACCTCTGCATCCCCGGGGGCGGGACGGGCCTCCGACATGTTCCCTGAGTGAACACCCGTGAGCGGGAGAAATAACACTGTGGGCTCCGCAGTCTCACTGGGGGGGGGGCTTCCTGGTCCCCCCTGAGGTCAGCAGCCCCAAATGAGGCCCTAACGCCGCACCCGACTGAGGGTGCTGATGTGGCAGAACTTCCTGGGATTTGAACCCCGCTGTTGAGCACCAAGAATAGGAGAGACGGCCAGGTGTGCCCAGGTGGGAAGAGGAGAGAGCAGGCAGCTCTGGGCAGAGGCCATGTGGCCCCCCCAGCCATCGCCCCTCCCAGACTCACCCGAACATGGCTGCCGTCTGCCGCGTGTTCTGCTGGGGCGGGGTGGAGGTGCTCGTGGACAGGAGCGCATCCGTGCCAGCCTTCTCCCAGTCGAAGGCCTCGTTCTCCGCGATGCCCCTCTCCTTCATGCTGTTCTCAAACACCGACATGATCAGCTGCAGGGGCGGGGGTGGCGGGAGGACAGAGAGGTGACCCTGGGCTCCCGGGAGGAGGGGCGTTGCTGGGATTGCAGTGGGGGGAGAGGGGCCTTCCAGGGCAGGGAGGGCCAAGAGGAGGCATTGGAAGGAGAAGGGCACATTGATTTTTGAGTGAAAACATGCACACAGTATGCAGATCAGCATGCAAATTATCATGTTGGTTTAAGCCCCTGAGACCTGCCCCCTGTTACCGCTCCAGAATCCTCAGCTATTTCCAGCATCTCAGCAGAAGCCACAGCAGCTCCAAACCACTGTAGTTCCCCAATCCACCACCTGGGGTCAGGGGTGTGCACGGGCAGCTTCCTGCTGCAATGCCTCCCGCCCACCTCTCCTCTCTGAGGCCTTCCTGGATCCCCCACCACACAGCTCCCTTGGTTGGGCACAGTGCATGGGCTCCACCTTCACACCCACCTGCCAACTCTACACTGTAGCCGCCAGCACAGGGCCCAGCACAGGGTGTGCTCTCAGCCGTTTGGTCTGGGGGACCCCATGAGGCTGAGCTAAGAACTGGGGCAGGGGGAGCAAGGGGGGGACAGTATGGCCTCCTACTGCCCAAGTGTGGCATCTCTGCCAGCAACCAGGGCTCTGTGCTCAGCTGTTTTCCCCACTCTCTGATCAGGGTCATGGGTCCTACAGGGGAGCAGGGTGGCGCCTTGGAAAGAGCACTGGACTTGGAGTCAGATGTGCCTGAGGCCAGCCCTGCTCCTATCCAGGCTACCAGGCCTCAGTTTCCTCATCTGTGACATGGGCACAGTCACCCCACTCGGACTCCTGCAGAGTTTGGGTGTAAAGTGCTTGAAAGCGCTTGGCTTAATTGTTGAATGCTGAAACAATGACATAAGGAACACACAATTATCACCAAAGCCTTGTTTTGAAACTTAAATAAATTAATGCATGAAAAGCACAGAAAACAGGGTAAGCTCTTGATAAATCTTAGCTATGCCTACTGTTCATGAGAGTGCAAAACAGTTTCGTGCAGTTGGAGGACCAGGGGGAGACGGTCAGGGCCACGCCGGCAGGGGCGCGGGCCTCGGCAGGAGGGTGCTGCTGGCCATGGTCGCCCACAGAGAGGTGTCCGGGGACGCAGGCGGGTGGCAGGCTCCCCCACCTGGTAATCAGGCTTGGTGAAGTAGTCGAGGCTGGCGATGTGGTCCAGGAACAGGTGGAACTCAGAGGGCATGTGCTTCAGCAGCATCCGGTGCTCATACTTCTCCTTGATCATCCCCACCTGCTCCTGGAGGCGAGAGGCACAGGGAGATGGAGCCCAGCTGCCCCACCCCCACCCGCCGCCTCAGACCCAGCTGCGCAGGCCTCACCTTGTCCTTGATCTTCCTCCAGGGCAGCTGCCCCACTGCAAACTCCACCAACATGTAGAAGAGGGACCACAGGTCATCGTGGCGGCCCATCTCCTGGGGGTGGAGAGATGGGGGGGTCACCCACAGCCCTCAGGTCCTTCCCTGGGAGCAGGAGGCTGACCCTCCACTGAGGCACTTCAGTCAAGGAGGCCTGACACCCAGGCGTCTATGGGCACAACTGAGGTCTCCCTGAAGCCATGGCTCTCTCCCCGATCGGCCAGCACACAGAGAATCACAGTCAAAACTTCTGTGTGTGCTGCCCGGCTAGGGTGGCTCAGTGGTTGAGTGTTGACCCATGAACCAGGAGGTCACGGTTCAATTCCTGGTCCAAGTTTCGGGCTTGATCCCCAGTGGGGGGCGTGCAGAAGGCAGCCGATAGATGATTCTCTCTCATCATGGATGTTTCTCTCTCTCTCTCCCTCCCCCTTCCTCTCTGAAATCAATAAAAACATATATGTTTTTTAAAAACTTCTATATGCTTTCTCACCCCACAGAGATTGGTGCTGGGAAGAGAGGGGAGAGGAGCCCCACAAACAAGGAAGAAGGGGAAGTCGCAGGCAGAACCATCCTCCAATCGGGGTCGCTGGAATGGCAGCCTCCAGCCCCTGCCCCATCCTTCTCTCCGCACCTGCGGAGCTGCCCACCCACCCTCTTCCCCAGCAGCACACTCTGCCCCGACCTTATGCCCGACGCCCCTCAGGCCTGGCTCTGCCACTCACCCGGTTCTTGTGTGCGTTGACCGAGGCGTACCGAACAGTCCCTCGAAACCCGGCCACGTTCCTAGGCTGCAGCGGAGAGAACACCACCAGGAACTTCGCCTGCTGCCCCGACCTTGGCCCTGCCCAGCCCTGCTCACCACGCCCGCCTCTGCCTACAGGAGCCCTGACTGCCTCCCCAGGCATCCCCCTCCCGTCACCTTGGCCTGGTCTGGAGCAAACCTGACACTCCAACCTCAGACCTAAACCTGCCTCCTGCCCCTGTCTGTCCTTGACCAGAGGGGGCAGACAGATCGCAGAGTGTGGGTGTGGCAGCCATCCAGAGCCCAGGCTGAGGGAGCGAGGGGATGGCCAGGTGTGGACCCAGAGTGGGGAGCTGCTGGTACCCAACACGAGCCGGGCCTGGTCAGGCGGCGACAGGGAAGCCGGGTGAGGTCCCCAGGAGGCCAGGACGGCTGTGAGGCGGTACTCACGGGCCGAACGTCCCCCGTGGTGTTGGTGTACTGCCGGGCCAGCCCGAAGTCCAGCATGTAGCACTTCCTGTAGGTGGACGGCAGCCGGCCCATGGCAAAGTTGGACTGCAGGAAGACAGCAGTGTGAGCTGGGCTCCGCCCCTACCTGGCTCACCTCCTGGGGCTCCGGGAAACTGGGTGAGGGACCCTCAGCCCACATACCCTCACACAAGAGTAAAACGCCAGCCTGCAGCCGGCACAGCACCTCATCTGAGGGGCCGGTGGGATTCTCCCCGTCTTAGCGATGGGGAAAATGAAGGTTGAGGAGCTTAGGGGGCCACTGACGGCTGAAACAAGGTCTGCCTGCCTCTAAATCCTTGGGACTCCCCAGTAGGACAGGGAGGCTTAGTCTAACTAAGGAGCCTGGCACCAACAGTGCTCTTGCTCTGTGACCTTGGGCCATTCAATCACCCTTTCCGAGCCCCCGCTTTCACTCCTTAAGAATGGCACTTTTCTCAGCCAAGAGCCAAGATGTCACAAACTTAGCTACTTGGAGTTCTTGACAAAGACCCTGGTCCCCGTCCCTCAATGCCCCCGTGCTTCCCCGCCCTTCACCTTTCTAGTTCAAGGACTCTTCAGGTCGGGGGCGAAGGAAAGGGAGAGAAGTACAGAAGAGGGCACGGGCATGGCCCGGGGCGGACAGGGCTGTGTGCTCCTGCGAGGCAGGTAAGAGGCAGAGGTGGGGCTTGGGATGGAGGAGAAGCCAGGGGCCCCGAGAGGGAGGGTGTGGGGCAGGGCAGCCCTCACCGGCTTGATGTCTCGGTGCAGGAAGCCCACGGAGTGGATGGCCTCGATGGACTCCAGGATCTGCTTGCCCAGCCGCAGCGTGGTGCTCAGCGTGAAGGTGCCTCGCGGCTGGCTGCGGCGCAGGTCCGCCAAGTTCCGGCCCTGGGGGGGTGGGCAGCCTTGCTCAGCGGCCACCCACCACCACCACTGTGCCACCCACCACCACTGGGCCACTCCACCCACCACCACTGGGCCACCCCACCCACCACCACTGGGCCACCCCACCCACCACCACTGGGCCACTCCACCCACCACCACTGGGCCACCCACCACCTCTGGGCACTCTGCCAAGCCTGGCCCCCCAGGCTGTGCCCACTCCCCCTTCTCCCGGGGCCGCAGTCTCCCTTCCCCACTGCCCCCACAGGAGTGGCAGCCCACGCCCCTGGGTGACTGGAGGGAGGATGCGTGGGCCACGTGGACTCACCTGGAGCTGCATCACCACGTAGTTAAACTTCTCGTTCCGGCCGCAGCCAATGAACCGGCACACATGGTCTTTCCCTGAGGACACAGACAGGCGGCTCCCAATTCCCACCCCTTCTCACTTCCACCCGCAGGTGGGCCCCCAGTGTATTCTGGATTCCAGGTCCCCCTGCCCTTAGTCCCATCGTCGCTCTGACACTCTGGTCCCCTCTTCCCTCCACCACACTACACCTCTCCAGCCTCTCAGCCCATCACCTCTCCCGGCCCCTGGCTCCATCACCTCTCCCGGCCCCTGGCTCCATCACCTCTCCAGCCTCTCAGCCCATCACCTCTCCCGGCCCCTGGCTCCATCACCTCTCCCGGCCCCTGGCTCCATCACCTCTCCCGGCCCCTGGCTCCGTCACCTCTCCCGGCCCCTGGCTCCGTCACCTCTCCCGGCCCCTGGCTCCGTCACCTCTCCCGGCCCCTGGCTCCGTCACCTCTCCCGGCCCCTGGCTCCATCACCTCTCCTGGCCCCTGGCTCCATCAGCTCTCCTGGCCCCTGGCTCCATCACCTCTCCTGGCCCCTGGCTCCATCAGCTCCCCGGCCCATCCTCCTGCCCTAGGCCTGTACCTTGCAGCTTTTTGAGCACGGCCACCTCCATCTTGAGGACCTGCTTGGGCTGCTGGGCTGACTCCACCTTGAGGGCCACGTTCTCTCTGGTCAGCAGGTCCATGGCCTCGTAGATCTCACCAAAGCCCCCACCTCCAATCTTTTTCAGCTACAGAGACAGTGAGGGGGGTGGGGGACACAGGGATCGGGCTGAGCAGCTCCTCATCCCAACCACTGCTGGGTGGTCCCCTTCACTGATGGGGGCGGGGGCCATCCTTGAAGGGGAGGACCTCATGTCTCCCCCCTTGCCCCACCCACCAGGGCCCTCCCCCTCCTTTCCTAGTGCTGGAGACAGACAGCTCAGCCATGGTGGACACACACACACACACACACACACACACACACACGCCCAGATGTCAGTGGGCAGTGGGAAAGGGTATGAGACGTGTGACTTCATAGAGACATGGAGCCATGGTCACGCGGATTCTGAAGAGGTAATCGGCTGTCATGACTCTTTTCTCCTCTGGACAGACAATCGATATCATGCCCCCACATCCACTGCCTAGACTGAGCAACTTCCAGAAGGAAAACCAATTTCCAGAACCTCCCAGCTTCAGGGCAGACCCCTGGAAGGGGTTAGCAGAATCCGAAACAGTGTCACCAGGGTATTGGGTGGGGAGTATTTGGGGAGGAGACCGGGAAAGGCCTGAAGGAGACCATTCCTGCTCTGAAGCTCACATCCCTCCCTAGGCCCCTGCAGGTGCCCAAACCCAGGGTGGGCCTCCTCTTTGGGGCAGGGGACACGGGCGCATGTGGGAAAGGAGGTTTGGAGTGAGTCTGCTTATCCCCAGGGCCAGTGCAGTGCAGAGCTAATCTCCCAGCTCCTCCTCCTCCTCCTCCTCTCAGGGCAGGTAGTGAGGAAGGACAGAGAACTGTGATGGAGGAAGGATCGGCCTCGGAGATGAGCAAAGCTGAGTTGTGGGAGGGATGAAAGTCATGTCAAGTCAGAGGCCCAGGGTTGTTGGAGAGTGAGGGTGCTGCTGGCACTGATCGAGGGACAAGGGAGAAGGTGCTGAGTTCTTTGGTTGAAGAAAGATGGACAGCTCAATTCTCACCTCCTGGGGAGCCTGCCCCTGGCAGGTGGCCTGCCCTCTAGCGCCTTTATTTGCATCCTGTTGGCTAATAACTCAGCCACAGCTGCTAATGATTGGATGGAGGCGCTCTGATCCGCCAGCCTGTAACTGGCTCTGAGCCTCCTGCACCGCTAAGCCCTCCCCCCCCACCACCCACCCCCCAGTATTTATTCAGTGGGAATGAAGGGAAGAAGGGGGCAGGGCTGTGAGCACTGGGAGCACCCCGCAGGTGACAGCTGAAACCTCTCTAGAAAGAGAAGGAGGAAGGGAGATCTAGAAGAGAAGTGGAAGGCCGGATGGGATCTTGGAGACTCTTGTGCCCAGGAAGGAGGCAGGAAGAGAGAGGGGGGAAGAACAGTGAGAAACCAGAGTCCCTCTCTACTTGAGACAAAAGTTGAAGGTCCGACTTCTAGGAGAATTTCAGAACCAGGAGGGATAGGCGCAGACTCCGGGAAGCAACGGCACGCCTTCCCTGGGGAACTTTAAACGCAGGGGAGATTTCAGTACCGTCTGGATGCCTTTGTGGTTTGCTGTGTGTGAGCATGGAGGAAAGGGCCAGGGGGTGGAACAACCACCACCTCTCGGTTCTGCGCTCCAGACTCACAGACCTCATCTCAGCTCATCCCCAAAGGGTCCCAACAGCACAGGTGAGGAGTCACAGGAGTCGCCGTTCTGCACAGAGGTCAGCACCTGGCCCCAGGTCACAGGGCTAGGAAGTAGCAAAGCCGCTGACATTCAAACCCAGGCAATGTGATGCAGAGCCCACTCTCTGAACGAAGACGTTACAGGAACAGTGGATCACACTGGGGTTAAAAGTGTTGGGGCCAAGACTCAAGCTCAGATCTTCCAGGCTCCGCAATCCTTGCTGGGGGTGGTAAGGAGGGCTCGGGGCAGCCAAGACATTTCTGACACCGGCTCCCCAATTTCCCAGGGTGCCCAAGGTTACTAGTATTTCTCTACCACATTCATTTCCAGAGTCTATTGTTCCTTCCTTAGCCCCCTTCTTACCACCCCTCACCCACTCTTTACAGCACCTCCCTGGGGTGGGGATCCGGGCATGGTCACCCACCCACTCACCCAACACCCCTCCTCCCTGGGCCCTTATCCACCGGCCACAGCAGGCACAGTGACTAGGCCCATAATACTTTCAGGAGACAATGAAAATGTGTCCGTTTCTTTTAAAATCAGAAGGAGAGAGAAATTCACGTTTAGGTGAAAAAGAAAATTTAAATATGTAATACTGATGTATTCCTCTTTATGCCAGTGCAGTCATAAAATACAATTATTAGTAATTTATGATTGAGGAAGGGGCCCAGGAAAGCCAGAATGCAGCCCCGCCCACAGCCCAGTAACAGGAATATTCTCTCAAACTCCCTTCACCAGACCCTATTCACACCCCCTCCCCTGCCAAAGGGCCTCCCTACACTGGGGGAGAAATCTAACATAACAGGACCAGCATTCACATCGGAAAAAGGAAGCCTGGTTTCTCAGCCCAGCTCTGGGTGACCTGGGGTCCGTTTCTTCAATTTTCGGAGGTTCCACGTTTCCTCCCCTTGGGCTAGAATTGGTGACAAAGATCCATCAGCTCTGTGGTCCTGATTCTTGGATGGGCTGATTCTTGGAAAGCGTTAGTGTTGGCCCAGCATTCAGACAGACTTGCTTCTACCGACCGGTCAAGGTAACTTGACAAGTTAAGGAATCTCTGTGCCTCTGTCCCCACACCTGTGACACCGGGCTAACAGTGTCTACATTTTTCACAGCCTCTGGCAATAGTAAATGCTCAAAACAAATGCTAAGTTTTTGTCACTGTTATTGTTTGTGATTCTACTTCTGAGAATCCTGCCTCAAGAAGAATACAGCGTTATTATTTGTAAATACTCCATCTAGTGTCACTGGCCCTCATTGTCTCCTGGCTGCAGCCTGTCTCTGGCAACTTGTTCTTGGTTCCTGAGCTCTGCCTCACGCCTCTGTCCCATCCCTCACGGGGAGATGGCCCAGGGGAAGCGTCTGGCACCCCACCACGGCTAGTTGTCCAGGGGCCAGGGAGGAAGTGAGCGGTAAAGAGAGGTAAGCTGGCAAAGACTGCATGCATGCCCCTTTCCCTAACTCCCTCTTGTCACTTCTCTCCCACTCATCTCCCACTTCCTCTCAAAGAAACACAAGAAAGTTATAACCCGAACTCAGGAACACCATCTTTTTCTCACCTCTTCAGTGCGATTGTCCATCTGCCTCCAATCTGCCGGCACAAGAAGCTCCGGTAACATTCCTCCTTTTACCAGACCTCATTCCTTTGATTACTGCCCTGGCTCCTCCTCCCCCATCTCTGTCTTGTCACTCTCCCTCTCAGGAAGTCCCCTTGGGGACACAGACAGCCCCTACCTGCAGCTTTCCAGCTCCTCCAGTGCGACCCCCTCCAGAGACGTCCCTGACAAGGCTGCCACCTTTGCCCCTATCCCTGGCCTCTAAGGGACCTGCCCAGCGGAGTGGTTGTTTCCATGGAGACCGACCTGCACCCAGGCCCCACTCTCCTCTCAACCCCTAACCTAGTTGAACCTCTCCCAACACACACACACACACACACACACACCCTGAAAGAGAGAGGCTCAGTATAGACCTGACCTGTACCGCTTTCCCTCTCTTCCTCCTGGCTCCCCACCCAGGTGCAGACCCACAGTTCACAGACTGTCACCCCGCAATCCAGGGCACAGCAGCCTGCCCCCACAATGATAAGAGGCCAGCAGAAGCTCTTATGTGACGGAAAGACGGGGGTGGGGGTGGGGGTGGGGGTGGGACAGGGACTGGTTTATAATAGGTCCTGTTCCCCAAACATTGCCATTTCCCTAACCTTCAAGTGCCCCCCTCCCATCCAGACCCCCGCCCCCGCGCCGGAGGTTGGCTTGGACTACAACTCCCAGCAGGCCGAGCAGCCTGAAGTCCTGGGCTGGGGGAGCAAGGCACGCTGGGAGATGGAGTCTCGGCGTGTTGCACCTGCCGCAGGAACCAGTGAGGGGAGGAGGGTGGATGGAGAAGATGGAGGGAGTGCGGGTGCGGTGGGAGCAGGCTGCGGGGCCTCTTTCCCGGAACCCAAGCCTTTCCATCCTCTGCGGAAGCGGAGGGACACATGCTCACTCGCTGCCCTTCTCCAAGGTCCGGCAGAGAAAGAGCCCCCTCCCCCACCCTCCCTCCGCCCCCACTGAGCTCTGCAGCTCCAGCTCAGACTTCCAACCAGGAGTTGTTCCAGGCTGGGACGGACCGGCGTGACCTAGCCGGGAAAGGGGTGAGAGAGGGCGGGGCTGGAGCGAGGCACTGGGAGAAAGCGAGTGTCCACAAGTGCAGGCAAAAATAAGGACCTGCAAGCACTATGCACATGAGCTCAGGGGCACCTCCCTCATTAGGTTGGTGCGCTAAAGGCACCCGTTCTCACTGGTCTCCAGACCCCCTCCTCCCCTCCTCTCCCGCCCCTCCCTCGGACCCGCCGGTCACTCACTCACCACCTTCCAGCGATCCTTGACCACGTAGTTGGCCGGCAGGATGTCGGCCTGCTCCCCTCCCCCACTCATGTTGGTTTCGTCCTTAGGAGCAGCCGCTAGGCCCTGCATCCGCCAGCCGGAGGGAGGAGGGGTGTCCGCAGGGCCTGCCCTGGGGGGGCCATCTACCTGGGGGAGTGCGGAGGGGCTGTGAGTGGAGAGGACCAAGGACCACCTTGCAGAGATGAAGGGGAGCCCCAGCCTTCCCAGGCCCACCAGGCAGATGCTCCAGGGGTTGCTGGGGGGAGCAGCCGTGGAGGTCAGAGGAGAAGGCAAATCCTCTCGGCAGGAAAGGAGATACAAACTACAAACTAGACATGTGAGAACCAGCAACACACACGGATGGGAAAAAGAGAGGACAATGATTGTGAGCAGGCTGTGGGGGAAGTGTTTCCCAAAGAGACGTAGGCTAGCGGATGTGGGGGAGACTGCCCGCCAAGGAGCACACCAGCCTGGGACCCAGGCTTATATTGGGGAGACCTAGGCCGAGAAGGACCCATCTGATGACTCCACCTGTGGCCCCTGGCACCCACCCCTTCCCTGTGCCACAACATGCCAGGGAGAGGTGCAACCGAGGCTATTGAAAGGGGAGAACTGCTGGCGAAGGGGTGACCCATGGGGACACACAGCAGAGTGACAGAGTGGGTTCTCTACCTACAAACCCACCAGGGGAGATGTGACCATCAGAGAATGAGGAGACACCTGGCAGCCCCTCGAGCCTGGTGCTGAGTGAGGAGGATGAAGTGTGCCTGCGTGCAAGGATGGGAGTGAGGAGGTGAACACAAGGCAATGGACCCAAGACATGGGCTTTAAAGGGACAGCAGCGATCAGGCCCCTCAGAGGGAGAGAGGCAGGTTGAAGTGGGAAGAATTGGGGACTGCAGGGAAGCAGCCTAACAAATGAGACACAGGTAGGAGCAGGTCTGGGGGGCGTGGGGTGAGAGAGCCTTTGACCACACCTTTCTGTGTCTGCCCAGGGACCATGAAAGAACACAGCTCCTGTTGCATTAGAATAGGTACAAGCTGGGTATCAGGGAGCATGTCCCAACTGTGAGGGCTGGGAGCCAGCCAGTGTTACCCAGGGAAATGCAAGGGTGTGCATGTGTGTCTGCGTGTGTACCTGTGCATGTATCCCTCTGTGTGAGTGTGTGCATGTATGTATTGTGTGTCTTTTATTAAATTTATTTGGGTGACATTGGTTAATAAGATCATATTGGTTTCAAGTGTACATTTCTATGATACATGTCCTGCATATTGCATTGGGCCCACCACCCAAAGTCAAGTCATCTTCCATCACCATGTATTTGTCCCCCTCTATCCTTTTGCGTTCCTGTCTGTGTGTGTGTGTCTTTGTGTCCATGCCTGTACATCCACGTCTGTGTGTGCTTGTGTGTGTGTTGTGTCTCTGTGTGATATGCACGTGTAGGCAGGGAGCCAGAAGAGAGAACTTGAGATCTCTGCCAGCCCAGTCCAGGAGCGGAACCAGGGTCTTTTCTTCCTTTCTCCCCCCTGCACTGTTTATAAGCGCACCGCTCTACCCTCTCAATGACCTGGCATCGCAGACGGAAGGAAGTCACTCTGGCTGGGGTTGGGGTCGGGTGAAGAGGGGAAGTGCCTAAGATGTCTGTGGGTGGGGTGGGAACTCCATAGACCTGTCTTGCCTTGGGATGGGGTAATGCCCCAGGGCTGCTGTGTCTAGCCATCCTGATGGGGTGGGGGCGCAGCATGGAATGCTGACGGCCTGGAGACAGCCTCCGACGGGTCATGGTGTGCCATGAGGGACAGGTGGAGAAGGGATCTTCATGGGGAGGGCGCTGTCACTCTTTTTCTGTCTTTCTTCGAGTGACTCGGCTGACTGTTCCCTCCAGTCCACACAACTTCAGGTATCAGAACTGATATCAAACAGGCCTCTGCCCTCCTGCCAAGTGGCACATGGGGCAGGAACTTGCAGGGCAGGATGAAGGGGGAGTGAGGGTTGGGAGGAGGGTGGGAAGGTGGGGGTCTGGAATACACGTGGAGGAGGCAGGTTGAAGACAAGATGAAAGGACCCGTTGACCAGTAGGGAGGGATCCTTGAGGAGTTGACAGGGTGACCTCTGGTGGGCCTCGCAGTCCTGTGATGGTGGAGTCTATAGGTTGATGGGGGAAGTTTAGGTCCTGCTCCCATGTATAGATGGGCAAGCCCAGAAGGAACAGATGAGGTGGCAAAGGAAGAGTGGACACAGGAGGACAAATGGGGGGTCCCTGCTTCTCCCTACTCACCATCCTTCCCACTCCCTGCCTCAGAGGACTACACTCAACTCAGACTGGGATTGGGTGACACGAACACGAGTAAGTTGGCTGCCCCATCACTGCCCCCTCAGGACCCGGGGGGTGGGTGGAGGCATGGGTGGAGTGGGCGCGGCTCTCAGAGGAGGTTTTTAGGGACATGTGTCAGAGCGCATGTCTGAGAGTGTGGGGCTGGTGAGGAGAGCGAGGTCTGAGTGGCTGGGAGCTCATGGTATGTGACTGTAGGTGTTGCTGTGCAGCTATGCAAGGTGTGTGCCAAGCATGTGTGGGAACCCGGGAGCCCGGGTAAGGAGAGGCAGCGGGGACCAGTGAGGGCTGATGGAGCTAGGTGAGAAGGTGTGTGGGAGGAACAGAGGGGATGGAGGGGACCAGGAGTGGCAGGATCAGAGGGGGGTTGGGTAGAACAGAGACAGGTGAGAGGGCATGACGGCAGGAGCGGCCACGGGACCCTGCGCGGGCTCTGGGCGCAGCTGAAGGGGCGAGGAAGTTGGTAAGAAAGCCGGCGGCAGGAGTGGAGGGCAGGGCAAGGGAGCGAGGTTATGGGGGCAGCGCGGGGCGACTGGTCCGGGGGCCGAAGATGGAGCCGTGGAGACGGGGACAGAGGTCGCAGTGAGGAGCAGAGCCCTGGCCGGCGGGCGGGAGACGGTGGCCAGTGGCCGGGGCAGGGGCTGGTCCAGGCCTCGGATGCGGCCCAGGCGGTGTAGGCCAGCGGCCCGGCTCGGCGGGCGGAGACGGCGCAGGGAGGGGGCGCTGGGAAGGCTGCGCTGGGAGGGGAGCCAGGCCCGAGGCCCGCGAGTCCACGGAAGGAGCCCCCGCCCGACCCCCGCCCGCCCGCCCGCCTCACCTGCTCGGTCCCCGCTGCGGCTGAGGCTGCGGCGGCGGAGGCAGCGGCTTGGGGCGGCGCATCCCCCGGGACCGGGGCGGGGCGGGGGCGGGGGCGGCTCAGTGCGGCGCTGGGCGGCCCGCTCCCTCCCGCGGCGGCGGCAGCGGCGGCGGCGGCGGCGGCCTCCGGACCGGGACCATCCCGGCCCGGCCGGCCCCGATCCTCCTCGGGCGACAGCGGTGGCAGCGGCAGAGCGGGGAGCTGCCCACAATGCACTGCGCCGCCAGCATCAGCACCAGCCCTGACATCACCGCCCCGCCGCCCTGGCTCTGACATCACCGCCCTTTCTCTGACATCACATTCTGCTCCGCGCTCTCTCCTCCGGCAGCGCGGGGGCTCTCGCGCGCGTGGTCCTGCTCTGGCTCTTAGGCTCTCCGCACGGTCTCAACCGTTCACTTGATCCCCATCCCCCAGCAGGGCCCCCTCACTCCTTACCTGTCCCAGACGCCTCACCTGTCTCCATCAGCCTTTACCCCTGCGCTCCCAGCATGTCCCTGCCACTCCCCGCCGGTCCCCAGCAGCCTCAGCCCATCCCCTCACTCCATCCTCCATGCCCATGTGACTTTCCTCTAAGCTCACTTCCCCTCCCCGGCCATACGCCCCCACCCGCTTCCTTCTACCCATCCCTCACCTATAACTCACCTCACCACACATGCACCTTACCTCCTGGCTCACCCATCTGCTGACAAACTCCGCCCTCGTCTCTGACTGCTCACCAAATAAATGCACACTCTTCACTGAGACATTTAGCATTCTCTCTCCCCCACCAAGGCCCCACGGAGGCTACGGCTGTCCTGACAGATTGGGTTGCTCAGCATTCACTGAACACGCTTTGCACATTGTCTCTCAGACCCTTCCTTCCGTCCTCATGCCTCCGATAAATGCACACTGAGCACCTTCAGCACCACCACCAACAGCAGCTATTTACTGCTGCCACTATGCTGACGGCACACATACTAATTCATTTAATTCTCATAACAACCCTGTGAGGTAGCAGTACTGATGCTGTGCCCATTTTATAGATGAAGAAACTAAGGTACAGAGCTTTGAGCACTTGCCTTAGGCTACACAGCTGGCAAGTGGCAGAGCTGGGATCCAAACCCCGGCTCCAGAGCCCATACTCCTGGCCACTCTGCTGGCAGGAAGTGCCATTGAGTCTGCAAGACCAGTCAGAGGAGGCATCTCAGAGGAGGTGCATTCCACTGTCATCTGAAGGATTAGAAGGGGCCAGGGCGGAGGGTGGGAGAGACTTCCAGCTGGGAGGAGAGCCTGAGGGGGCAGGCGAGGCACGTGCAAGACCAGGAAGGGCCTTTTGTGCTGTGCAAAGACTGGATTTTCTCCACTTGGTTTTTGAAAGTGTAGTGGGTGGTGTGGTGTCATCCAGAGGCCCCTTCCGAGTCCGGGTCGCCATTCCCAGGCTGGTTCCCTCTCTGGGAAGGTCCCTTGGCCTAGGACAGCGGTTCTCAACCTGTGGGTCGCGACCTCTTTGGGGGTCAAACAACCCTTTCACAGGGGTCGCCTAAGACCATCAGAAAACACATATATAATTACATATTGTTTTCTTGATTCATCACTATGCTTTAATTATGTTCAATTTGTAACAATGAAAATACATCCTGCATATCAGATCTTTACATTACGATTCATAGCAGTAGCAACATTACAGTTGTGAAATAGCAACGAAAATCATGTTATGGTTGGGGGTCACCACAACATGAGGAACCGTGTTAAAGGGTTGCGGCATGAGGAAGGTTGAGAACCACTGGCCTAGGAAGATGCTTCATCCAAGACCACGCGCCCTCCCTGGGGCATCCCAGACCTGACCACCGATCGGCCTGTGAGTGCAGAGGCCTCCACCCTTTCCTCAGCTCCGGACAGCTTTGGAGGGACATCCATTTTCAAAACTCCTGAGGGTCCGCTGAGGCTTCTGTTGAGACTGCATCGAAGCCCCCTTCCTCCGCCCAGCGCTGCTTTCTTCACTCCTCCACAGAGGCTGGTCCTCGGAGCACTTACCTGTAAGCTGCTGCACGGTCACCTCTGTCTCAGAGTCCGTGCCCACGGCCATCAGTCCTTCCGACCGGAAATCACTGAAGAATTCTGAGCAGCAATAAGACCCAGTCTGATCTGAGTATGGGGTTAGAACTCTAGGTTGACCATTTGTTTCAGGACTTCAAAGTGTTGCTCTACTGTCTTCTGGCTTGCATTGTTTCTGATGAGAAGTCTGCAGTTGCCCTTATCTTTGGTTCTCTCTATGTAATGTGTCTTTTTCTCTTCTGACTACTTTTCAGATTTTCTCTTAATCACTGGTTTTAAGCTATTTCATTAGGTGTGCCTTGCTGTAATTTGATTCATTTTTCTTGAGCTTGGGGTTTGTTGAGCTTATTGTATCTGTGGATTTACAGTTTTCATCAAGTTTGAAACATTTTCAGCCATTATTTCTTTTCCCCCCCAGTCATTCTTTATTCAAATATTTATTCTGACGTCTGCTTTCCTTCACGGACTCGCATTGCCCCGGCTGTCAGGCTGTTTGAAGTTGTCTTGTTTATGCTCTGTTCATTTTCTCTCCCCCGCCCTGTCTTTTTACTCACTGTGTTCGTTTCTGATAGTTTCTACTGCTCTGTATTCAAGTTTATAATCTCTTCTTTTCCGGTGCCTGATCTGGTAATAACCTCATCCCCTGTATTTTCATCGTCGCTTACATCTCTAAAAGTTCAATCTGGGCCTTTTAAAATCTTCCATTTTGAAATCTTCAGTTTTTCTTCTAACGTCTTCAACATATTGAGTAATTATAACAACTCTTTTCATGCACTTTTTTACTAATTTTATTATCTGAGTAATTTCTTCATTTGTTTTTATTGATTTCAGAGAGGGAGAGAGAGAAGAAACATCAATGATGAGAGAGAACCATGGATCCGCCGCCTCCTGCACGCCCCCACTGGGGAGCGAGCCTGCAACCCAGGCATGTGCCCTGACCATGCCCTGACTGGGAATCAACCACCAAGCCATGCCGGCCGGGCTCAGCATTAGTTTTAATTTTTCTTCTCACTCTGGGTCATATTTTCCTGCTCCTTTCCAAACTGTAAATTTTTATTGATGCCAAATACTGTGAATTTTACTTTGCTGGACCCTGGATATTTTTCTGTTTCAGTAAATATTCTTGAACTCTATTCTGGGATGCAGTTTATTTACTTACAAATAGTTTGATCTTTCCAAGACTAACGTTTTAAGTGTTTGTCAGGTGGGACCAGAGCAGCCTCTAATCTAAGGCTAATTTTCCCCGCCCCTGAAGCAAACCCCCGGGACAGTTTACCCAATGCCCTGTGGATGGTGAGGGCTCCCAGTCAGCTGGAGGGAATGGTCACTATTCCCATGCTTGAGTGAGCGCCGAGGCCATCTGCTCTGCTCCTTTTAGAGCAGCGGTTCTCAGCCTTGGCTGCACATTAGAACCACCTGGGAATCTTTTTAAAATCCTGATTTCTGGGCCTCATCGTCCGGAAATTCTGTTTCTTTGTTATGGGGTGGGGCCACAACATTAGTAACAAAGAAACAGAATTTCTGGACGATGAGGCCCAGAAATCAGGATTTTAAAAAGATTCCCAGGTGGTTCTAATGTGCAGCCCAGGTTGAGAACCACAGTTTTAGATGATTCTTTCCCCACTTTGGAGAGTTTCCTCACACCTGTGTGCTGATCAGGCCTCAGCTGACTGTCACGGGAAACCCTCTGGAGATTCCAGAGCTTTCCCTCCTGTCCTGGGCTCTGTCCTGCAGACCAGCTGCCTTGGCCTCCCAGGACCCCCCAACCCCCCTCCTCAGCTTGAGGAGACAGCCAGGCTCAGCCTGCGTTCCTCCTGCCTGCACCCGGACACCCCGCAGGCCACACGCGGGGCCACACGGAGCTCACCTGGCTTGTTTTCAGGGTTCCCAGGGTTACTGTCCAGTGCTGCTGATGCCCAATGTTCAGACATCATTGTTTCATGTACTCCGGCCAGGATTTTGGTTATTAAACATGGGGAGGTTTACAGCAAGACTCACAACATCCAAATGAGCAGCGGAGCCTGGCCCGGTGGCTCAGTGGGTTGGAGCATTGTCCCACGCACCAAAAGTTTGGGGGTTAAATTCCTGGTCAGGGCACATACCTAGGTTTTGGGTTTGATCCCTGGCTGGGTGTGTACAGGAGGCAACCGATCGATGTTTCTCTCTCACATCGATGTTTCCCTCTCTAAAATCCATAAACATATCCTCAGGCGAGGATAAAAATAAATAAATAAAATGAACAGAGGGTCTGAAATAGACATTTTTCCAAAGAAGACATACAAATGACCAACAGGCTCATGGAAAGATGCTCAACATCACTAATCATCAGGGAAATGCACATCAGAATCACAGTGAGCCCTAACCGGTTTGGCTCAGTGGATAGAGCGTCGGCCTGCGGACTGAGGGGTCCCAGGTTCGATTCCGGTCAAGGGCATGTACCTTGGTTGTGAGCACATCCCCAGTGGGGGGTGTGCAAGAGGCAGCTGATCGATGTTTCTCTCTCATCGATGTTTCTAACTCTCTATCCCTCTCCCTTCCTCTCTGTAAAAAATCAATAAAATATATTTTTTAAAAAAAGAACCACAGTGAGGTATCACCTCCCACCTGTCAGAAGGGCTACTAGCAAAAACAGAAGAAACAAGTGTCAGTGAGGATGCAGAGAAAAGGGAGCCCTGGTGCACTGTGGGTAGGACTGTAAATCAGTGTAGCCATTAGTGTAATGGAAAACAGCATGGAGATCCCTTCAAAATTACAATAGAACTATTATATGACCCAGCGATACCTCATCTGGACAGTTATCCAGAGGAAATGAAGTCACTGTCCTGAAAAGATATGTGCACCCCCATGTTCATTGCAGCATTGTCTGCAATAGCCAAAATGTGAAGATAGCCTTCGTGTTCATTGATGGATGAATGGGCAAAGAAAATATATTATTCAGCCAATAAAAGAAGAATATCTTGCCAGTTGAGACAACATGGAGGGACCTCAAGGGCATTATGCTAAGTGAAGTAAATCAGACACAGAAAAACAAATACTGTATCATATCACTTATATGTGAATTCTAAAAACAACAAAATCATGATACAGAGAATGGGTTGGTGGTTGCCAGAGGCAGAGGGTTGGGGGGGGAGGGGAATGGGTGAATGTGGTCAAAAGGTAGTAAACTTCTAGTTATAAAGTAAGCAGTCCTGGGGTGTAATGTACAGTGTGGTGACTATAGTAATAATACTCTGTT